GAACGCGTTTTTTAACCGTTTGCATCAATCTGGGTATATCTGTACGGAAGAGGACGCTAGAAGTCAATTTTCCTCTTTCAATAAAAACCTATAAACTCTTGCGAAAAACGAAATTTTCAAGTATGAATATTTAAAAAAATTATTTATTTTTTATTAATAATATTTTCATCAAATAATCATTGATATAATCATTTACTACTTCATAGAAAGGTTATATGTAAGGCTTCATGGCAGAATGTTTTTTTTGTACTTTGGCCAGTATTCTATATTGACTCAAAATACGTAAAACTAATGATATCAATTCTGACAAAATTCCTATTTCTACAATATATATATATATATATATATTTATATTGATTTTAGACGTTTTTATTTTTTTTTTCATTCGTCAAAAATGGTCGCACCAACAACTCAATTACCAAAGTCACCAACAGCAGCCGTTGCAAAATGGGATTCTCGATATGCTGGTGCGGTACCACATGATACATCATATTATGCAAAATGTCTTGTCGGTGGTATTCTTGCTTGTGGTTTAACACATACAGCCATCTGTCCACTTGATGTTACAAAATGTAATATGCAAGTAAGAACATATTGTTCATTTAAATATGAAAAAAAAAAGAACATTTTTTATTGTTCACTGTATGTATAGGTCAATCCGGATAAATATCTAGGTTTAGTTAAAGGTCTTCGATTAATTGTTGCTGAAGAAGGAAGTCAAGCTATATGGAAAGGATGGCTACCAACATTCTTTGGTTATTCAGCGCAAGGTGCATTCAAATATGGTCTTTATGAAGTTTTCAAAGATCAATATGCTACTATGCTTGGCAAAGAAAATTTTGAAAAATATAAAGGTTTAGTTTGGTGTGCAGCATCAGCATCGGCTGAATTTTTTGCCGATATTGCATTATGTCCATTTGAAATGGTTAAAGTTAAAGTACAAACAGCACCACATGGAACATTTCCTGTAGCATTTGGTCCAGCATGGTCACAAATGAATGCACAACGTGCCGAAACTGGGTTTCCATATCGATCTCTTGTACCATTATGGTCACGACAAATACCATATACTGTAGCTAAATTCTTCTTTTTCGAAAAGGTTTGTTTTTTTCTTTTTTTATTTCAAATGAATGATAAAATTTTTATTGATTGTTTTTATTAAGGTCGTACAATTATTTTATACATATGTATTCACACAACCAAAAGAAACATATTCAAAAGGAACACAACTTGGAGTTACGTTTGCTTCAGGTTATACAGCCGGTGTTATTTGTGCTATTGTTTCACATCCAGCTGATTCACTTGTATCACTTCTTGGTAAACCTGCTAATAAAAGTAAAAGTTTAGGACAAATTATTAATGAAACTGGATTTGCTAAACTTGCTACAAAGGTTTGTTTACTTTTTCAATATTTTTAAATAATAAAATATTGATTTAAATTAAATTTAGGGTCTTGGTACTCGTATAATTATGATTGGTACATTAACTGGTCTACAATGGTGGATTTATGATACATTTAAAACAGCTATGGGCATGGGAACAACTGGTGGCAAATAAAATATAAGGATATTTTCTAAGAAATTTGTAGTCCAACGTTAGAATATAATGACCTTCATTCTTATACCACTTTAGTGTTATGTTTTGTTTTTTTGCGACTATGCGTATTCCTCGTATCAAAAGAAATATATTTGATCTAATTTTCACTTCTAAATATATTTATTATTATACCTTTATAATCCAGCATATGAAGAATATTCAATGAATGCATGACATATGCTGATTTGATCAATACTCTTTTCTTCGTCTTCTTTTTTAAAATCTTGTATTGAAAAAAAAAATGATTAGCATAGAAAATAATTATATATGAGATTAGTTTATGATTATGAATAATATTGATTACAAGATAATCTGAGTACTTCAAATTTATTCAATGCTCTATTAAATAATCACCATGCTTTCTTGTAAAGTTTTCTTTCTAAGGGCTTCATGTTCATTTTTTTTTGAAAACATTTTCTCATTCAAATATATTGATTTATTTGTTGTCTATAATCAATTTATGATTCGAAAAAAATAATTTTATTGTTAAGATTACCGATGGATAATCTTTGAAAACAATCTTAATTTTCAAAACAAACAATAAGGAAATTTATTGAATAAATTCTATGGATTTATTATTTTGACCGAGAAAATATTTGATAGTTATGGTATGTATTTGTAAGTCAATTGAAATGATATAGATATATTACTATCGAAATATTCTAAGGTTGTCTTTTTATATACCCTTTTGTTAATAGAAGAAGATAATTTTACTGTTCTCTTTCTTTTGCCTTCTATTATCAGCATGATACGGCGAAAATATCACAATCGAGGTGTGTGTTTTGTGTTGTTCTCTCGTACCTCATATATACGCCCGGAAAAAATAAGTTAGAGTCTGTATTTTGGAGATA